ACCAGCAACCAGACGACCATGACGTGGAGAGGCGTGTACCTCAAGGACATACAACACGCAGTAGACCAGGAGGTGGTGCTGGACCAAGTGAACCAGAGCATGTACGACGCTTTCCAGGCCACGCGACAAGACATTACGCACTACAATTACGCCTGGTCCAGCAAACAGCACCGATGGATGGCGGCTGAATTGAGCTACTCCAGAGAGAGACTAGGCGCTATTCGCTACGAACTCTTGTCTACGTTTCGAGTCTTGAATCGAGTGGAATATCAGCTTCTGGAAACAGAGTACTGGAACTGGATTTCGGATAGACAACTCGACTGCAAAGAGGATTGTGATGCCCTTTTAAATGAAATGTCGTCGTGACTTGAGGAATAAACTTGTCTTTTACTTTTTTTTTTTATACATACAACATGTCCAACTATCCAAAGCGACCCAAAACAGATCAGAACGATACATTCAAAAGACCTCATTCTTCCGTAGAAGATCTTCGAGCATCCACTCAGAGCCTGAGCAATATTCTTGAGATTGTCAGTTCCTTTCAGAGTGAAAAAAAAAATTACTCCTCATTCTGATACTCTAGATAAAAACATAGCTCGACACAAGCATCAAGCGCTTGGACCAGGAAACCGCAGAGTTCTCGCGTCAAACACAATTGAGTCTATTCGACAGAGTAAGTCTATGCTATCCCTGTATATATATATATATACTAATGCTCCTGTTGTTGTTTTTTTAGCCGTATGAACTTGTCACGGAGAACGACATTTCAATCGCTCAAGCTAAATATGGCGACATGATTGATGCGGAACTGAGCGTGTTGATTCAAGATGCAGACAAGGTGATCCAAGAACTCGGTCAAGAAGAGCAGGACCTTATTGCCAAGACAGCAGAGAAACAAAAAGAAGTGGATGAATTGATTCAATTGATCGAAATCACACAAGCCGAAAATGCAGCCAAGAAATCAAGCTCAACAGCAAAGCCAAAGCAAGCCCATTCTTCACTCACACCGCAACAAACGCAGGAATTGAGGAAACTGGAAAACGAAAAGGCAAGGCTGGATCAATTGCTGGCGTATGAGGACCGACGCTTGGCTGAAAAGACGGCCACACTGATCGACTTGCAAAAGAAAAACCTAGAGACAGAAAAGAGGCTCGAGTCTGAAAAGAAGCCTACACCTGGCGAATACAGCGAATATGAGCAGGGCTTGCTAAAGCAGATTGACTACTATACAAACAAGATTCGACAGAAAAAGGAGGAGGAGGAGGTTGCAAAGCAAAGGCTACAACAAGAACATGAGCAGGCACAGGCACAAGCACAAGCACAGACAGACACAGAGGCGGATCAAGATCAGGATCAGCAGGACATTGGCAACGTACCGCCTTTAGACGCCGCTGCCAGATACAGAGAGCTGTTGGACATGATTGAAAAACTACAGAAAGCCATGGGCGAGCCCGATTTTAGAGCCTCTGAAAAGGCAATACAGGAATGTGAAGCTGGACTGCAGCAATGCTACAACGACATACAGCAAGAGATGGCCCAGCGAAAAGCACAGCAGCCCAGCCAAATTGAAAGGCTAAAACGCCTCTTCCAAGTCATTATACCAGATCAGACATTTGCAAGGACAGCCGGCAGGATTGTAGAATTGCTGTATGTCAGTGACGATACCAAGCTGCCACTGCAAGTGTTACAAAAGGTAAGCATATCACAGGGCGTGGGTCTTTTTGGATCTTATAACGTCATTTCGCAAACAGGAATTCCCAGAAGCGAGCCAAAGTCGACACAAGTTCAAAAACGTGGTGTACTGGTTAGTGAGCACTCACATTGCGGACTACGATGGAACACATATCATTTTATTGTCAACAACAGCTCAATAAACATCCTGCTCTGTCTCATACGCAACAATCTCCTGCAGCTGCTCTAGCAGATTGGCGTGATCTTTGAGGGCGTGCTGGATCTTGAAGAGCCACGCCTGATCCGACAGGCTAGCGTCATTCAGCACATGGATAAACGTGGCGTATGCCTGCTCGTTCGGCATGCTTTCTTGGCAGTTGATGTAGAATTGAGGATAGGTTTCCTGCGATAGTCTGTCTAGTTTCGATCGGATGGGGATCAGGTCAACGCGAGAGAACTGCTGCTGCTCGTCAGACGAGGAGGACGAGTCTTGGTCGTAGTCTGGTATGAAGCCTACCAGATCCTTGAATTGATCTAATATGGCGGGTGCGCTCTGCAGCGCTTTTGAGATGCGTTTCAGCCACTCTGAATCAGACATGACGCTTCGTTCGCAGTACAGGGTGTTTTCAAACCTGGACCATTTCGTGTCCAGATGGTTCGCCATGCTTGCAAAGAACGGTTTGTTGAAGCGCACAAGGTCTCTCATTTCTGAGCCGCGATCCACAAGAGCAACGAGCATGGTATCCGGCACGGACTGCGCATTGATGTCAATGGTGGGCGATGTGATGCATGGCGACAGCAGGTCGTGCTCTTCTTGCTGCTGCTGCTCTGGTGGCAGGTCAAACGAAACAGAGCTTTTGCGCAACGTAGTATGTGAAGTTTGGATAATGGATGGTGTAATTTGTTTGGTCATTGAAGATGGGGCAAAGATAACAATTTCGGCAGCGGTCGTGTCCATTCAAAAAAGAGAGCAAGGAGAGAGGAAAGAGGGTTGAATTGATTCAGAACCGAGCGCTTCAAAGGAATATATATACGTATCCATGATGAATTAAGGTTTGTTACTTTTCCGTTATACAATTTTACCAAGTGAAAACATTATCTCATGATTTTGTATACATGGCAACACTCACACTCTCATATCACCAATGTCTGCTTATGGTAATCGCCTCCAACTTGGAATAGTGTCCTTGCCAAAAGGTCCCATTAAAAATGGTGTATCATGTGATGTATGGCCATAACAAATGCATTAATGAAACAAGACCGCTGTTTCTTTGTATGACATACAGAATACCACATATTTTTTTTTTTCGCCGTAGTATAGGTCCCATGCAAAAAGATGGACTGTATCGAACAAGTGTCGCTTTATTCTACGATGCTGTTGCTGAATGAAAAGGGGGCTTATTTGCATTTGATTTAAAACGACTGGGACAAGAGGAGAGGCATTTCAATCTCGTCCTTGGACATGATCTGTTTGCATATGTATACACATCAGTTTAGATTACTGTATCAAAAGGAGTCGCTTTATTATTACGGTGATTATACTAGATGGATAATTTAAAGGTAGACGGTCAATGCAATGGCCATCATGGTGATCACAACAGCGAACTGGCCAACGGGAAGCACACGATCACCCAATGAAGATTTGACTGATTGGCTGGCAGAAGGTGCGGTTGTTGATCCCGTTGTGGTTGGTGCAACCCAGGTTGCAGATGCTTGGCTGGGAACAAGCGAGCCGGAAGGCAATGGTGCAATGGAAGGTGTAGGAACAGCAGCACAGATACCAGTGGCAACTCGAGCTTGCTCGTTTGCATCCACACTGTATTCAGGACAGAGATCATAGCATTGGCGAATAAGTTTCTATATAGCATGAATCAGTACTGTACTCCTCTATTCTGTAAACGAGCTGTACCTGAGCATTACATTGACAAGCATAGTCAACTGGTCCACATCCATGTAAAAGGCTTTCCTCGATTGATTTACAAGCCTGAAAACTAAAAGACATCATTTAAATTAGCCTTTTGATACAGTGATGCTGTGATTCAGATTTCAAACTGTTGTTGTTGTGTACTTTACTTTGCCTCTGCAGCGCATCCAATCACTGCACTGACGGACATGGCACCAAACTGAATGACAAGAAAAAGCACTGCAGTCCATGAAATGTATTGTGGTTGGGCCATGCTCTTATTTTATAACGTGTTTCGAGAAGAAAGGATACAAGATGTTGTAAATGATAAATGCATACACAACAGTGTATTTATATACTCCTTTCACGATTCTTTCCCCTTTCTCTTTGTGATCTTCTCCTTGATTTGCGTGTTTACTATACATCCCCTCAGCATGGTTCTTACAAAAGCAGTTGATGCAGGATGCATCAAGACTGTTTGAGAGCTCCTTGTGCTCTTTAACAAAGAAATGATTTTCCTTGCCTGGATGATCTGCTGATGACAACAAAGGTTTCTTAATACCAACTTCTTTTAAAGGAGATATTGCTGTAAAGAAAAAACTACTTGGACTTTCCTCTATCAGTGAAAGGCACATTTGATTACTATGGATCGATGAGAGGGACTCAGTAGTGGGAGCCTTCTTTTATGAGAGAGAGAGGTGCGAAAGGGTACCACTGTATGCCAGTAACCCTCAAATATTGTTTTAAAACAACATTGCATGAGATGCTCAATGTCAAATTTATGTACAAACAATCGAAACTGCTGTGGGCATGTGTCAGTTTGCAAGAGTTTGTCATTCGGCTAAATGAATCCTTTTTTTTTCTTTTCTACATTACATTTCAAGATGGCTGTTACTAATATGCCCTCTTCTCATAGTACTGATGTATTGCAAATCAGATATAATAACCTACGGCTTACTTGCCTGTTCCAAAGATGAAAGGTAAGATCATGCAGTAATGTTTTAAGAACAACCCATGCGTCCATCGAGCAAATCATAAGCAAGGAAGCAGAAGCAACACATTGACTATATGTATCGTAAGGATATACCTCTTTGCTCATTGCTATCAACATCACTACACTATATACTCTACAGCAAAAAAAAATCGTAACCTCGTTTCATAGTAGATTACTACTTACTACCATGCCAGTCGAAAAACAAAAGCTCACAACAGTGGAAATGCTTGTTAGGTACACACATACTTTGTGTGTAGCCTTTTGATATAGTATAAATATCAATCCAATTTGCGAAAAAAAATGTTTTCATCTCATTTGCATTTGTTTAGAGTATACATTTATCTTGATCCGCCATCTCCACACACGACACTCAAAACGAAACATGAAAACGTCTAACGTAAATAGAGAGGTAAGAAAAAAATGAAATTTCTGTGCGCGGACGGGGAATCGAACCCCGACCCTTGCCTTGGAAGGGCAAGATTCTACCTTTAAACTATCCGCGCTTCCATGAAAATTTAAAAATTATAGCATTTATATAGAGATGCCACTTTTTTTTTTTTTTTTTTTACAGCATTTTTGTTAATATTCCTCATACCAACGCCTTCTCCTGTATTTTATCTGCATATTGCGTACTTGTTTCTTAAAATTTTCTTGGAAAATTGTCAAGATGTGATGGGTTTCATATTCAATAAAACTTATGTGATTTGCGTCTTATACACTATTTTCAGAAATCATTATTATTGGGACATTTTGAAAAAATAACTGGAACTAATTCCAAACAAATATTGGGTCATAATTAGACATAGGTTATATAAATATGACAGAATTCCACATAAATGTAATGTACCTGGCATATAAATTTGCCGCAAGGTGCATAAGTTCGACTAACCCGTCTTATTATAAATGTGGATATTGTCATATACAGTTGGCCATAATAGTGACCACCGACAATTTCAGTGCTATATGTATAGGTAATGACTACATGCCTATCGCTTTGACGGAATAATCCATGATAATTTTTTTATACCATCGTTATAATAATGTAGACCAAGAAGGGTACAACACAGATGTAGAAATGAATAGTGATGATAGCCTTGAAGCCGACATTTCCGATGAAGAAGAAGATGCACAACAGAAACCAATCCAAGATGATGATCCAATGGAAGCTGTAGAAGACGAAAGTTTTTAAAATCGTTAGCCAGACGAATACATGACACTAGATAAAAAAGAAGCTAAATGATATCATATTGACTTTGTAGACGATCCTTTTGAAAGATTTATCGATAACAGCTGCTTCCCAAGCAATAAGATCGCTATTGTCTTTTTTTTTATGTTGGTATCACTTCATGGGCGCTATCTGACCGACGAAGGCTTGAAAACCATGATGATGTATATCAACATGGTCTTGGATATTTATGGCCAGACAAATTACAGGTTCCCAAAGTACGCTCGTACGTTTGTGGGATGGTGCCAACTAAGTACAGTAGTCCACAAAGGCTTTCAAGTATATGTGTGCTGCTGCACTGAATGTCAAGCAATCCATCCATTCCATACTGACACGGACAAAGTTGCACTAAAACGACAGCTCATTTGTCGCAGTACCGGTCTTTTTCCCAATGGCAAGCCCTGCGAAAATGCACTGTTTTCCAAAAGCTCTACAAACCAGTTAAAGCCTAGGTCCTGATCTCATGGATAATGCCGTAGAGATTGAAGATCAACAACCTTCCGTCAAGAAGGAGGAGGTCGATCTATGCTGGGAGGCTGGTGAGCAAACCACAGATGCTCGTATTATGGCACGTTGATTTGTGGTGCCGCGATTTATAGAACTATCAGTATAACTTGATCTGTTACTTCATCAATATATAAAACACTTCAATTCATATAAACTCAGCGAAAGCCATATTTCGTATGTACGACGCTAAAATTACCGAGATTTTGAAAGGAATCCATCTTACCTCTTAATAAAAAAACTCGCCATCCTACTTATTAATCATAAAATGAACAACGCAGAATCATCGAATTCGAGCAAAATAACATATAGTACCCGTGAAGACAAAAAATATTGGGGTGTTTATTGGCTAAATAAGCTGCATTTCTCTATGCAACGCATAGGAAACATTGTTGATATGAAGAAGAGTACAGTGCAGTCTATCATCGAACGTATCAACAAGACAGGCTCACCTATTATGCCTAGACACAGCACTGGAACCCCCAAGAAGCTCAATGAGAGAGATTTGAGAATCTTGGAGAGGATTGTACGTAAGGATACCTTCTTTTCGTACAATCAAATTCTGTATGAATTGCGCCTGAGCCAGATCCACATCTCAAGACCAACTTTAGTCAAGTATCTGTATTCCTTGGGGTTTAGCTCTTACTTTGCAGCTCACAAGCCTGATCTAAAGCCCAAACATATTTTGGCGGCCCTAGCGTAGACTTCTCGGTCTATATGACTATGGAACGCTTCGAGGCCATAAACAAGATGCACATCCTTGTCACGCCGAATGCCAGGGCTTATGCTGCCGACAAGTTGTATCAACTTCGTGCCTTTATCGATGCATACAACGAAAACCTGAAGAATGTGGTGATCCCAGGAAAACATCTCTGTGTGGATGAGTCCATGAATCAATGGCTCGGCCATGCATGGAATGCCTTTTTTCAAGAAAATCCCAAGAAAGCCCCATGTAATGATCCACATTACATATGCTTTATTCATGCACCACATTGAAACATCGTTATCTCGCCCGTATATAAAAGCTTCCACTTTGACAGGTATTGAACGTTAGTGAAAATATCTGTCATTGCTCCCTCTCATTTATTTATCACATTAAATAAACCTACTTAATCCTAATACTGTTTGTCTCAATAATATCTACTGTACATATATTATATAGTAAGTATTGCCTAAGGGTTAAGGACCTGAAAATAGTAACACCAACGACCCAACCCTTAGTACATCCGTCTTCAGCACTACAAGACCATTGTACTCTTTACACCCCATTCCATCGGTCAAGAGTACAAAACTACGGCTGATGTGAACACTTGCTGCTGTATCATCACACTGGATGTCAGCGGTGATGATCAGGCAAAGAAATTTAAAAATAATCGTTTTCCAAAGAAAATTGCTACTATACTTCGTTTGGTGGAGTGTTGTATTATTCACACATATATAACTGTTGTTATATGTGCCTGAAATACAACAGATGACATTATTATAATACTACTGTAGTACAAATAAAGTAATAAACTACAGTATGCACATATAGAGCATATGTAAATCATCGGCTTTTTTATTAATGGATAATAAAGGATAACCATGGTACTGTATTATTCACATAAGCTAATAAGTTTCAGTAAGCTACTGTAGTGTATTCCATATATCAAGAAGCAATAGCATACTGTGAGAAATATAGTACAGTACTTTATTACTATAATTTTAAGAATCCAACATATATGCTTTCTTTAGATTTTAAGTTTTTGAGCAATATTGCTTTAAAAAGTGTACCGTGGGTGACTGCAGCCACTAGGCTGTGGCAGCACAGAGCACTGCAGTGCACGCGGAATCTGAATGACGACGTGTGCTGTGGATATTTTGCACTATGCTGGCGGTACCCAAATGATTTTTTGCAGGGATTTTTTTTTTTAATCAAATCAACATGATTTGACATTTTGTTAAAGTTTTTCTTAAAATTAGCTATATAAAGTGTGCTCAGCGTATACTACTTTCTAACAAACTTAAGGGGCGATTTTGAAGGCGCGTTCAATGTTGTTAATTTTTAAATACTTCTAGAATGAAAAAATGAAGAATTTTGCGAAAACATATAAATCAGTTTTTCCAGGAAAAGTCAAGTTTTAGCATATACAACCTTCAAAATAATAATTCCACAAGTTACCCTTCATCTCTGCAGTCATTTTGATTTAATACATATCATAGTAAAAAGTGTCATTTTTGCGTCCAAAATTGCGATCGTTTGATTTTTGACAATTTTTCCTTACCAGTACTCATGAAAAATCGTGAATTTTCATCAATTTGGATTGATCCAAAAAAATTCAAGATAAAGGCTCAGGATGTAAATGGTGATCGAAAGCAATCATTTGGCACTATTCCGAGCATCTAGAAGGGCTTAGAAGACGAGATATTGAGGGTTGAATTTCGGCATTTTGGCTGAGCTTAGGCTTGCTTGAGCTGATTACAACTCTGATATCTCAAAGCAGAATCACGTTTTTTATGTGGATTGGTGTAATATCTACTTGGTTATTTGAAAGGTAATGTTTGCAAAAGAAGAGTTAATAGAGTGTGAGTTTTAGTATACATAAAGAACGATTTGCGTTTTGCCAGAATGGTATTGGCGGGTAGCTTAGGCAGCTCATCAACATTACCAGGGAACTGTCAATTCTGGTGGAGATCCAGAGATTATATCATAGCAACAGTGATACGATCTGTCAAACAGAAAAAGGTTTGATCAATTGTCTAACCATGTATGTGGATCAGATCAATCGCCATCAAGAGATTTAAGTAGAATTATCATAAATAGCAGCATATGTAAATTGAAGCAAGTCAATAAGCTTGGTTGTCGTATCTTGTTGATGGTGTCTACTGTCTACTGCGTTTGGTTTCTTTTTTGTATTATCAATTTATTATACCGTAGAATCCAGCTATCATATCATATTAAATGAATTTGGCCTCAGTTGAGAAGATGTAGTGTAATTTTACTACATTTGCTCGGATATGCTACAGCCTATTGCTGGAAACTTTGTGACAAACTGCTTACCTGCCTCTTTATACTACGTATACTTGAAACATGCTTCATTCATTAGTTTTGCTATGTATTGCAGGCTTCATATGCAGGCTTCATATATAATCTAGTACTAGAAACCTTAGTATCCTCTAGAAAATGCAACTTGGCATCCTTGATACAGTTCTAAACTAAGCATGACATTCAAAGCATTGGCTGTTTTGAGAGATATCTACCCTAATCCAGCAAGTGTTGTGTGCGCAGACTATACCCGCTTCAGAACGAATGCTATTGGATCAGCGATTATTCAGCATATGCCAATGAGAAATGTGGAGTATAGCACTGTACTATAAAGAGCACATGTGTATCTGCTGCAACGGCTGCAGGGTTCAACTGATGGCAATTTAGATCGTACGATTCTTCCAAGAAAGGTCATAAACCTATACATTTGCTCCGTAATTGCGAAAAGGAGGGGGGGGGGGGGCAGCATATGATATCTGTAATCCACAGCACAGCACACCAACAACAGCATCATACTGCAAAGCTAAAGACATGATGGTGTGGTGGACACAATCCAATGGATCAATGGCACCATGGATACCTCGAGTATTTGTTTGCATGATGTCATTTCGTACAATGAGTATACTTGTTGCTATGGATACTCACACAAAATATTCGCCGTATAAAGATAGTCTATAACAAAGGGCCCACATCCTTGCAATTCCACCCCTCCAATACCTCGGTCTGTATGTGTAGAGCATATTATACAG